CTTATTTGAAATCAGTAGGTAGTCCAAAATACAGTGGAGTTGGTACTTCATGCTGCATTTGTAAGGGCAGTAAGAGCACTTTTTCTGGTTACCAGTCAGGCAGAGGAGTTTAGCAGAAAATCAACCAGCAACTGAATATGTAGTTACTGGTTCATTTAGGCTGAAAGAAAAAGTGAGATATTTGAAGAGCGAGGGAGGGAGAGATAATACCAGGATCAATACGATGAAAATGTTACCATGCTGAGGAGCAGAAAATTAGTGCAGATGAGTAGGTGATACACAGCGGTGTGTTTGTTTCTGCTTCAAACACTTTCCATGTTGGTTATGATGTGGTTTGATTGACAGGCGAACCACTGGGGAACTTTCTTTTTTCCTGTCTTTCTTTCCAGCAGACCTGACAGTCAGTCACTCGTCACAGGAGCTCAAAAGAAAGAAAAAAAGGTTGGAATGTGTGTGGGAATGTTGGAGGTTCTGTAACATGGTTTCTACAACTTGCATCATAAGCAAGGCAGAAATTTTGAATTTTAACCATGTCAGTCAAGTGTTGGAATGTGCTGTGAGTTGACCTTTTGTGTATCTATGTAACTATGCAGCACAGGTCAAGTACAGTGCTTGAAACTTTATTTGGCCAAAAGTAGCAAGAGTATGAGCCTAGAATTAGATGTGTGCAAAAGTGCTTTGAGGCATGTTTTTCTTTCTCTGTTCCTTCTGAATGTTATTTAGTTGGACTGAGGTAACCTTTCAGAAGTTTAATAAGACAGTCTCAGGACTTTCCTGAAACTTAAAAAATGCCATTCTACTCACTTGGTTATGGCATGTAAATAAAACATCTCTTACTTAGCTTTCTTTTTCCCATTACGCACTGATCCGTTCACCTGTGATAAAAAATTCACTGACAATTTTTGTTCAACCTGTGAGGCACCAGAGCTGTTTGAAAGGGTGTATCCATCTATTATCTTTACTGCTTATTCACGGTCGCAGGCGGCTTGAGTCTATACAACCAGCCACAATCACAGGCACACCTACGGGTAATGTAAAGTCACCACTTAACCTAACGAGCATGTCTTGGGATTGTGGGCAGAAGCCGGAGTACCCAGAGAGAACCCATGCATGCACGGGGAGAACATGCAAACTCCACAAAGAGAGGCACCTGTCAGGCAGGGATTCAAACCAGGAACCTTGTCGCTGTGATGCAACAACGCCAACCACTGCATCAACTTGCAGCCCCTGTTTAAGTATATTGTGTGTTATAAATATAGTGTGTGTATGGCTGGAAGCTTGTCAGACATAAGATCATTTTTGCATCAGAACGTCTTTTGAGTTTGATATAAGGCAGAGAGATAAACGTATAAAGTCACGCATTTCACACACACCTCCATGCAAATTTAAAGCAAGGAAATATATCTTCACTAAGTAAATAAGCGGGAATGATATAGCAAACTTGTTTTATATAGCATAACTCTGCTTGCCTTGCCCCCTTAATACCCAATTTATATGGAAATGAGACAACATTTGTTTAACCCTGTTTTACATAGATACGTGGTTCAAATCTGTTTTGTGGCACAAGGTAATACATTCATATACTTGATGGACAAAGACCCAAAGGACCTCTCTGCCGAAAATTAAAAATATACACGTGGATTGCAAATACGATGTCACAGTACAGACATCAGAGAGCAAATCATTTACAGGTCTACTTATAAAAAAATGAATCCTTTTTTTATGCTCCATTTGGGAGTAACCAGTACAAATAGGCCTCTTCTTAATTATTGACAGATTCTATGGTGCAGAAAAGTGATGTCCTTTCAGGTCACCGAATGCCATGCCAAAGGTAATTTGGCCACTGTTCCTGTCATGCACACCCCATAATAAAGATGCATTATCCTCGAGAAAAACCATTCCTCAGTTTTAGGCAGAGAGGCCTGCAGGGGGGGATTTTGCCGATACAGAAATAATACAATAAGCTTAGTGAAGGTCAGTCAGTATGGGACGACCCATTACAGCTCAATGTAATTGGGCAGATAAAAACTGGGCCCGAGTATTGTCCAGAAAAGAAGATATATAATTTTACAGTCCATCTAGTTTGGAGGCAAAAACACCATCCACATAAATTAAAGTTAATTACTTGCTTATCAGTATTTCTATAAGGGAATTATGCATAATTAAACTCCTCAAAAGACAAAAATATTACCTCAGTGCCATAAGGTGTATTGATATTTCAAAAAGATAAAGACTGGCGTAATAGAAAGCCGTAATGCTGAGGCTTTTAATCTACATTTCATGCTTTTTGGGTATTGTTTAATCAACAGTGACTGTCCAGGCACAGAAATTAATATTGTGATTACACTCACAACCATATCTCTAGCTTTTGTCTCCGATATGAACGATTTCTGGACAGTGATGATGAAATGCTGGACATACACAGAGAACAACTTCAGCTTCAGACAGGCTGGTTTAATAGTCAGCTGAGGAGAAGGGCATACAGAAGCTTTCTCTTTAAAGGCAACACTAGCAAGGTTGATATACTCCTCTGACCAACATCTGGAATGTCACCCTTTAACATGTTCCACTTTTTGTGCTCCTGTCTCGGTCCTCTTCTACATGTCATTACCAGGTCAACATTACCTTATTCAGGGTCAACATGCACACCTTGCTCCCAGGATCAACCGACCCTAAATTCCTAACCTTACCATCTCATGCATTTTACAGTTCATCTCGATCATCACAAAGGAGCATTATGCTTCTTTGTGATGATCAAGATTGACTGTAAAACTGGTAGGCCACTGTGATTAGCAGAAGTCATAAAAACATCAGTGAATGTCTCTATGAGGATTGCTCAGCCTTAGAGGGTTAGTGTGCTCTGTTAAAGGACATTTAATGAAAAGCAATTAAATTCAATATATTTCAATTCAAAGGCACAGCTGGCTTGACATTGGACATTGTGTTGCCACATCACAATTCTACAGACACTCTAAAACATATTTGTAAATTGTTTTAGAGCTTATCAAAAAGGTTATCATGAATAAAAGGTACATAAGAATAAATATCTAGTTTTATTATTAAAATGTATCGGATGACCCATGTACCTTCTGTTATACAGCTTTGAGTAAACTTTAAAGCTGCTGAATTTGTTAGTTGAGGGGATGTTTGGTGGGGTATTGTGCCAATGCTCCTTTGCTAGAATTACCAGAATGTTGTGATTACATGACATGTGTCTTACGGGCGTTACATATTCCTTCCTTCAACTTGACTCAAAAAGGAAAAGCCTCTAATGTCTACAGTGGAAATGAAGAGCTGCATGTAGGGGGGCAGAGTCGAAACAAAAAGGCCTAAGAGAAGGAGATGGGGAGTGATGTGGGAAGCATAAAAGCTTTGTTTTCAAGAGTCTCTGACTCAGCGAGGGCGCAAGTGTTTGTCTTTCAGTGAATAGAGAAATGGGACAGGAGAGGGAAACAGGATGGAGGCGAGATCCCCCACACTCTCTCTCTCTCTGACAGCTTGATGTTGGGTTTACAGTATATCTGATATTATAGGGTAATTAGGACATTGGGGAATTGGTAAGAAAAAGACAACTCTGCACACACCAAGGTTTGCACACACTACTTCAGGGCGTCTTCTCATCAAGGGTCTCTCTAAGGTTCACTGTAATCTGTGTGAGTTGTGAGTCATTGCACATTGAGTGACCAGCAGCTAAGCGAGAATGTGTGCATCATCAGTGGCTTTGAGGTGAGATGCAAAAAAAAAAAAAAAAACTAACAGAGCTTCCAGACAATTGGCATATGTCAAGAATTACCCTCACACTGAGGCCTCAAATTTTGGAGTTGCACTTTTCGTTTTGCTTTCATCTAAAGAAACAGTGCTTCAGTGTGACTCAAACCTGGTGGGAGATTCTCCCTATCGCTTCTGCTCTGCCCCTCCCTTTCCCCCTGCTCGGAGTTTATTAAATGATAACAACCTCTCTGCTGATTAAATCCAGTGAAAGATAACCTTCCCGTCAGCGAGGTAACACTTTCCCTTGAGCCCTGAGTGTGTATGTTAGTGTGTTTTCGAAGGGTCTTACAATAAGAAGAGTGATGGCCAGTCTCTAATTAGTGCTGTTCATTTTGCTAACGTGCCTATATACACCCTGAGGAATATGATTACATCATTCTTGGAACTACAAGACGAAAAACACATTGTTTCTCTTGTCTAGATTGATCTACTTCAAAGAAACTACTGTTGTAGCAGTGCGATGAACTAGAATAAAGGTTAATAAAGCTTTGGTAAGCCCTTATCAAGCTTTGTATGATTAAAGCAGTTTTCTATGTCTTTTAAAGGCCCGGTACACACAATGAACACTCAGACAGATTCATTCAGATGCAGAAATGCATACATATTCCCATGTGTTAGTGTGCAACGGGATCATCAGCTTCGTGTCCAACCCACTGATGTATGAATGACCATGTGCACATATGTGTGCATTGGTGTCAAATCTGATCGTGCCTTAACATTGTCAACAGATGGTTTCACTCTCTGTCTTTCTCACACACACACACACACACACACACACACACACACACACACACACACACACACACACACACACACACAGATAAACACACAATTATGTGCAGCATGCAAACTGAGGTCCATGAGCCACACCTCTTGGCCACATGGGGAGATCTCTAAAATATAGATCAGACGGCTGAAATACTGAAAGTCATTTACAAATCTTTTGATGGGAGGTTTAATGGTCTCCCTTTGAACTGCTTCGTTTTTTAATTAAAGGCCAACAAACAAAATTCAAATAATACATTCTCTGTCAAGTGGAGGCTCGTGACCTCCCTGAGGTGGCATCAAAAAGCAGGATAACAGGGCAAAGTTTTCTGGTCTGTTTGCTGTTACTGCAAGCTGGGTAGCAATGGGTACACAGTAGACAACTGCTTAAAAGTGAGTTGATTGTTGTATGAGCCTTGGGAAACGGGGTACTAAATTGGTGTGCTTATGTGTCATAATCCTACCTTGTCGGACGTCTCTGGGTGCTATGGCGATCGCATCATTGGAATGCAGCTCGGTGACGCAGCAGTCGTCTGGAAATACCGAACCATTGCTGAAACTGTGAGGCGTCTCGGGAAGTAATGGTACGGGCGGTGCCATGATGTTGTGGTTTGGGCAGATACATCCTGTCTGAGTCATTCCACACCCATCTCCATCCGAAATCTCCTGGTCTCCGTTGTGTCCCGTGCGTAAACACTCCTCGAACCATCTACAAAGCACGCCACAGGTAAACTGACTGGAGTTCTCATTGTTTATAAGTAACACCTCCACCAATCTTAACTCCAGCAAATCCTTCGTAACCTGAGGCTCATCTGCAGCTGGATGTCTGGTTAGACATAGTTGGACAAAGTTTTTATCAAACTGTAGGAAGGAGTATGGTCCATCTGAGTTGGTTTGGCTGCCACACAGATCAATGACTTCTTGATCCCTGGCAGTAGCTGTCTGTACATGATGGGGACAACTTTGATTGGCCTGGTGATGGTCAAGGGACAGTAGCATGGGGGCGTGTGTCCTGCAGATGACAGGGTGCCGAGTGAAGCGGAGGTAGAGGGAGTACTTGGTGGGATCAGGGTTTTCCAGGGACCAGGAACAGCCCGGCGCCCTCGAGGGGAAGAGCTCCCTTAGGGAGAAAGAGCCATAGAGCACACCAGCTACAAGGCTGGAGCATGATGAGGAGACGTGTGATGGGGCGCCCTCTGCCCCATTGCTGGGGATGCCGTCGGCAGCCCCATAGGCGGCCTCAGCCAGGGCAGAGAGAGGAGCTAGAGCGAGGGCAGACAAGGCAGCCAGGGCCCCAGCCACAGCCAGGAGCGAGGACAGCACAGACAGACACACCCCACCAGCAGTGTTCATCCTATGACATTCGTCCTGGAAGACAAAAAAGAAAATGGAAGAGCTGAGTGTTAGATGGAGCTGTGAATGAGACACACAAGGCAATATCTTCAAACCGAGCCTGAAAAAAAAGAACACAATATGGACAAATCAAGAGTTAATCAATGTTCCTGTTCGGAATCAAGATGTTCACGTTTGGAAATATTTCTGGACAGACTAACATCTTGCCTCAGAGTATAACACAGCCAAGTTTATGGCAGGAGCTGTCATGAAGTTCTTCCTCAAACACACACTCACACACACACACACACACACACACACACACGCACTGTCAAAAACACAAACACATCCCTGCTGGGCTGGATTAAAAAGGTTGATGACTTGGCTGTTGAGACATGCACTGTGGGGCCTGCTCTACCCTTTCCTGCTGTTATGTGCACACAAACACACACACAGCATCGCCTGCTGAGCAGCTCCCCCAAGGCTCCGGCAAACTATTACCATCACCGACACAGTGAGGGTCCGCCAACAGCCTGATTTTGACTCACACAATACTAACACACTGATGACAAAACGCTATATACAGCGTACTGTGTTTTAGTATTTTTGCTTGAAACCACTTCAATATCCACTACATTTTTATACGCCACTTGTGTCTGCTCCATCACCTGGGATTTTTTGAGTGGCTCTGCATAAATGCAGTTTGAGGAGGATGTGTGGGAGACGGGAAATGTTTGAACCACTCTTATCGATAACCTCATAACATGATACCCAGACAACTTTGATAAAAGTATCACCAGGCTCTGAAAAACAACATAAGCCTCCCTGCAACATTAAGTGTCAACCGAGACAAAACTTTATATACTGGATTTAAGAAATAGTTTGCAAAACTACAGCACATTTGGGTTTTTCTCCACCAGATATTATGTTGTAATGATTTAACCCAATGAATGCGGTATTTGAGTAAATGGAAATGATAACACATTTGGACACAATAGCTTATTTTCTGTCAGTTGGCTTAAATCAGTACAGTTGTTAGTTTGACATTTTATGGCTTAAATATGATACATTTACTTGATTGTGATATCATAATTGTAATTGTCAGCTTATTATTTGGCCATTTTATTGGCAGCATCATGCTTTAATGCCACCATTTGGTTGATTGGCTGACTCTACATATACTTACAACATATATCATATACAGTACCTGTTACTCATTCTATTCCGAAAGTAAAACAAGTTTCATCAAATATTTTTCTCATATTATAAGCAGCCTGAAAGCCACCAAAATAGTCTAACAGACAACCTTGCTAAACTCAATAAACATACAGCTGTAAAGCAAATTGCCCCTCGGGGATAATAAAGTTTACCTTGACCTTGACCTTGAGCTATCAAAGTGGTACACCTGAAACATTGAATGGGACTACATTTCCCTTAGCATAGTAAGACTCTGGGTCAGGGGATGTGCTACACTAGTGTAAATGACTGCTCACTTAGCCCTTTCTTATCAATCCAATTCAGCTGACGTGGTTTGAAAGGGAATGTAGCATGAGATATGTTTTATCAATACAGTTTATTGCATAGAGATTAGCATTAGCATTGGCTTGTCTTTTGCCTTGCCGTTTTACTTCCCATGCTAAATATGCAAGTGTGTCAACTGGAAAGCTGAATAACGCAGGGGGTGGGAAGGACAGAAAAGAAATATTGAACTGAACACACTGATTTCAAAATAACATACTGCATTGAAGAGGACTACATGGCTCAGGTTAGAGATTAGACCTGCTGTTTTTTGTGAAGTTTACAAAAAAAACAAGGCACTTTTTTTTCGCACTAGCTAAACATCAATATGTCCTTTGTTTGCCTGATTGCTTCAATTTGCGTCTTCATGATCGCACCAACCAAGGTTATTAAACGTGTAAGAGCCTCTGTATGAAGCATGTGTGCGACTTTACAGCAGGTACTCCCTTTCCCCAAGGCCTAGGTTAATGAAACACAGCAGTAGCCTGCACTTCACAGGATTTATGTAAGTCTGTGAAGGCTCGCCAGCATTTGACACCTAGTCCACAGGGCCTGGGTAAGAGCTGAGACTATAGGAACAGTGCTTACTTCACTATGTCAAGAGGTGACCCTACAACAGTCAGACAGTAAGAGGCTTGAGGGAGGGAGCCATTAATGATGGCTAGAAACACAACATGACTGAGGATGGGCAGGATATGAAAGAGGAGTGATGTAGAGAGTTATCATCTTTCTTATTATATAGGTTCCAGAGGTTAGCTGGGTCTCTAAAGAGATAGGGACACAGCCTCACTCTTAATGTATTACATCAGGCCAACAAAGACATCTTTGCAATGTTAGCATAGCATGACTCAGCGTAGTGAATTTAACACCAAAAACACATATCCTGGTGAGTCAGAGATCAGCACACAGTATGTTTTGTAAAAAGATTAAATAGGGACTATTTCTAACAAATAATTTGTTTTCTATTGTGTAACATGATTGTCACTTGTTGGTTTCTCTGCTAATATTTCACTCCAATGCTGAAAAGCAGAACTGCCAAACCAAACAGCAGCAAGGCAGTGCCTAATAAGGAGGTGTTCCCATTGGAAGGAGCCAAATATGCTGGAGGTGGAAGGGTGTTTTGCAAGTTGCTATATTAAGATCTTCTGCTTAGATTTGATTTTGGATTCATTAATTTCCTGGACTTGAATCATGCTTTTCACTGGGAAAAAGTGACAATGTCTAAGGCTATGTTTTTTTTCTTCCTTTTTTCAGTTTGAATTAACCTTTCTCTATTTCTATTTTTTTGTGTGTGTTTTTGCATGCCTAATGTTTTCTCAGGTATTTAGTTTTGGTACCAGACTTGCAATGTAAATGTTGGTGCACATAATGTGTAAGTTTAATTGGAAAATACATGAATTCCACTTCATTTGTGCTTTAGCAAATTATGCACATTTGGTTATTGTGTAAAAATGGAAAATCATATGACAAAAATACAAATGCACAATACAAAGGTGGTTACTGTCATGCCCAAGAATGATTTTACACCACATGTTTCGATCAGCTCAGATTTGCAGGCACTGAAGCTGTCACCATGAGGTCATGGATTGTTTTTTTTATCTCTTTTTTTTTATTTACTGACCTTTCCCTCCCTTCTTTGTACTTTCCTTTAGTTACTATTATTATGAGTATTAAGGGGTACTGTTGGATCTGTTTTTTTTTTTTGTTTTTTTTTACATCATTCACATATTCCCCAGTAAAACATTTGACATAAGACGTTTTTAAATAGCACTGGCTCCGGCTGTGGTGACACCTTGACAAATGTGTTGCACAGTTAGGGCTGAGGGATGGCTAATGTAGCATGTTGTGAAATATGCCCAAAGGACATCATGCTGTCTTACATATGAAAGGGTTATAGACTCTGCCACTGGAGCACAATCTCATACTTTCAAACATATATAATGTGATACATCCTCCACACCGACTATGACACATGTCTTGCTGGCAATGTGTCACTGAATTATAACATCCAGAAATGCATGTATAGTGTTGTACAGAGACTGACAAACAGATTCGCTTGATCCCAACTGGAACTCAGGAGAATAGGCTGATGCATATGGAAACCTTTAGTACAATGTCAGAAAGTTTATTATGCCACATACATCAAAAGTACAAATAATTAGCATTATAGGCCAACCCATGCATAGGTTAAATCTTGCGCACATTATACGGATGATAAGAAGTCCAAAGCGTTAAGCAAATTGTTTTTGGGACAATGAACAATGAATATTCATAGAGCCACAGTCTGTGCAAGAGTAGGCCCTAAAGTGCTGTCTTCATGAGGCCATTCTGTCCCACTTCACTCTAAAACAGCACTTTACTGTGGGCATCCATAAATATTCATTAGCTTTGATGTCTTCCTTCCCCCTTCCACCTTGACATTAATGTTATCACCAAGGATGGCAAAATATGTATATCCCTCACTCCCTGTCACTTCCCCCCCCTCCCCCACTCTCTCTCTCTTTCTGATTTTCTCCTCTCGGCTCCGTTTTCATTTTTTAATGCACTGAAGTGACAATATGACTCATCTAATTTTTTTTTTTTTCACTGTAAAATTCATGCAGGAGAGAGAACAGTACTGGGACACTCCAGTTCTAAACTACTATCAAGGCTCTGAAAGTATCACTGAGCCCACATAAGGGATAATTCCAAATATTCATGATACTCTACGATGGCATCAAGTTTTAATGTTTGCTTAAAAACATCCCGTGTGTTTTGAGTGCTTTACTTTCAGAGAAGAAACTTTGCAAGTCTTTGTCGCTAGTTGCAGTAAAAAAAGTGAGATATGTGACCCGTCTCCGCACCCATTTATTCAGCTTTTGGAATGGCTTGAAAGAATGTTTGTATTTGTTTTTGTTTTTTTCTCCACACACTGTGAGCCTGCAAATTCTCCATGTTGGTAAAAACAACTGGAAACTATATCAAATTATTCTATTATCTGTACCTGTCTATGGAAGCCCCTGAGTTTTGTTATGCATGCTGAAAGGCTTTATCAGGATCATATCTAGCTGTGTCAAAATGCCAAAATGTCATGGAACTACCAAATAAATTCTTAGAATGTCCAAATTATAAAACAGCGAGGTTTAAGGATCTCATTCTTTAGAGTTAATGTTACACCTCATGATTCATACTGTTCATACCCCACCATATACTTGTTTGAAACTAATTATTAAGTCCCTTGTGAATAACTGCTGGCTTCCAAAAAAACAAAAGGTGTTTTTTTTTTATCTATGTTTTTAGAATCTGCAGTCTCACTGTCCAAGAGGTCAGACTTTTTGGACAGCCAGTTCATTCTATAACCCACACAGACAGTCGTGTTATGTGTCAAGTTTTTGATGAGGAGAATTTGCCCCAAACAACACAGAAGCCACAATAAGTTGAATCTATGACGATGTCTAACAGATGAGTTAGAATAATCTACCTTCACTCAAAATGAGCCTGACACATTAATGAAAAAAATGATTAAATAAATG